GAGGCAGAACTCCCCACCAAGAAAGAGCCCAGTCCGTCCAGTAAAAAAATTCAGAAAATACCATGTGAAATGTCCGATATTTTCTGTTTTTCCTGGCTCAGGTGTCTGCCGGAACACGCAGAGCTTGGGCTGGCTGAGACAGGGGGAGGATGGAGCATCCCAGGCAGACTTTTAAAAATGTCTGCCTTAAAAGGGCAATGCCTGCTCTGTTCTTAAGAGGGCAACCTTTGGGGGGAGGGGGATTTTTCCCCTGGAGTACCAGCATCTTTTTTAAAAAACAGTGGTCCTGGGAATTAAAGGGGCCATGACTGTTCACTGTTTTTCGGCCCTGGTCAGTTCCTTTTTTGTTCGTTTGGGTTTCTACAGAATTTTTCCCCAGTGTGTGTGTGTGTGGGGGGGGGTTTGTTTGTTTGTTTTTTTTCTCAACAAGTTTTGCTGCTATTTTGGAGGGAGAGAGGCGTGAGGGTTTCTCAACAATCAAAAAGGGGATGTGATGCCGAAAAGTTTGGGAATCACTGGACTAGAATATATAAGAGACTGAATGTTCAATGAGCATTTTGGTCCTTTTCTTGTGCTTCTGGTTTCCCTTTCTTGTTGTTTTGCTGTAGGTCAGACTTTTTGTTCATTATTGTTCATTACTTTGTAAGAGCATAGTTTTCGAGTACTTTCTTGCAGTCTGCTTTCTTGCTGTGGATAGTCTTTGCCAATATAGAGGGACTCAAACATACAACATGTATGGTGATTCTCAGCCTCAGCTGGAACTCCTAGACTTAGGTTTTTGAATAGCAATGATTCATCACAGGATGGTAGGGGGAGGACTAAAACAGGGATCCTGCCTTCTTGTGTCATAGAAAACCTGTTTAGACTCCCTTAGTTTTGTATCTCACTGTGCTGTTCACCAAGGCCTTTATAGTCTCTTGCGGCAGTGCTGTTGGCATTGTATCCTGGGCTTTAGGCCCTTCTCTCCGGCCTGATAGGAACTGAGGTCGGTCTTGGACATCTATGTGAAATTGGGCTCAGCTAGCTCTGTTCCTTTCTCTCCTTTGCTGCTTTCTGTACTCTTCTTATCAGTCTTGAAATGATGGGCCAATTTTGGCTCATCAGCTCACCCGTGTTCCCTATAAGCAGTGTGCTTAGGTGTCCACCCAGGAGAGATTGAGATGCCTCCCAGCTGATGAGCAGAGCGCTCACAGCCACCAGCATGTGTTTCCACTGGTGGTGCATGTCCGCATGTGCCTTGGTACACAACAAAATTTGTTCTGCACATGAATGGAAAAAATTGGAGGGAACACTGCTCACCTACCCACTGTTCTATCCTCCTGATTGGGGTAATTGATGGTGAGGAGAGTGCAAGCTCACCCAGTAACTCTCCTCACTCTGGAACAGGGGCTGGAAGCTAGGGTCTGCAGGTAAAAACTCGTTCCACCATCTGCAGTGAGAGAAAAGACTGCTAGTATGATAACCCTTATTTCTATAAGCTAGGGTCATGATAGGGTCTGTTGACTTGTCTCATGTGTAACTGGGGATCTTAGTCTTAGTGTGTAATCATTTCAAGCCTATGAATGTGAGGAGTCTGTCTTTCAAGTAGTGTGTGGCTTATATTGAGGCCTTAACGTTCAGGAGGAGAGCTCTTTTACATTTTTTTGATGAATGTGCAACCATTGCAAAAACTGTCTATTACTGTTTTGTGTATAATATTAAAAAAGAAATTCCTGCAGGATGACAGAGTGACATCACATTACTTTGCGTCCCACCTGCTTCCTCCCTCCTCTCCCAGCACAAGCCTGACCTCGCTGCTTCCCCTCGCCACTTGGAATTGCTATTTTAAACCAACCCCCTCCTCCATTTTCTCCACCCCCACCCCTACCCCACAGGGCTTTCAATGCCAAGAACCACGGAACAGTAACTGGCAGACCCACATCAGAGCCGTGAAAGCCCAGGAGTGAGGGGGCAGGCGCTAGGAGTGCAGCTCCCAGCCAGGCTTATGTGCCAGCAGTGGCCTTTTGGGGTCTCTCCAACCGTCAGGCTCTTGGGGAGCTAGAACACAGTGCCTGACTGCCCGGAATCTGGCTGCCCCCCTGGAGACTCACCCTCTCCCCAGCAGCTGTACTTACCACAGCTGCTAGAGCACCCCTGAGCCATCTGGGGGAGCTGCTGCACTGACTTGTCTCCTCCTTGTCTTCCGCTCCCAGCGGGCAGCTGGGCAGCCCTGGGCTGTATGACGGAGGTGGGGAGAGAAAGGGCCCTGGCTGGCGGAAGGGAGGAAGAAAGGACCCTGGCTCGGGGAGGGAGAAAGGACCCTGGCTTGTGGGGTGAGAAGGAGGAGGGAGAAGGGGCAAGCGGGCAAGCGACCAAGGAGCTTGCGAACAGTTTGTGCTGTGATTGGCAGGTGGAAACTGTTGGCTTCTAATTAAAGTTTGAATTCTAGAAGCCTCTGCTGATTGGCTGAGCCTTGGTAGGGGGAGGGGCTTTATAAGGCAGTGGGCAAGCGACCAAGGAGCTTGCAAACAGGTGAAATTAAAGTTTGAATTCTAGAAGCCTCTGCTGATTGGCTGAGCCTTGGTAGGGGGAGGGGCTTTATAAGGCAGTGGGCAAGCGACCAAGGAGCTTGCAACAGGTGAGTGCTAACAGGGAGTTTTGAGAGGGAGTTTGGAAGAGGAGAGGGAAGGGCGGGAGGTTCTCTTGCCTTTCTTTTTAAATTCCTTTTCCAGGACAGCAGTGATGGTTGGTGATGGGTCTGCTGTTGTTACCTGCACAGCGTGTGCCATGTTTGTCTTCCTCCCCGAAGAAAGAACGGATTCCATCTGCACCAAGTGCAAGCTGGTCGACATTTTGGAAGAAAAAATTAGAGGACTGGAGGCCCAAGTGTTGACCCTACGCTTGATCAGAGAGGATGAAGACTTCCTCAATAGAAGGCAGCATTTAATCCTTCAAGAACGGCAGGCAGAAGAGCCAGAGAGGGCAGTACGTGACCAAGAAGAGAACTGGCAGCATGTAA